ATCAATCAAAAAAAAAAAAAAACATCAGTTGATTGCTTTTTAAAATAAATAAATGAGCTATAAAACTACATTAAGTAAAAATATTACAGTATAATTACAATTTAATTAACATAATTTAATTATTTGGCTATTTATTTAATTATTTGATTATTTAACATAATTTAATTATTCGATTATTCAGCATAATTTGATTATTTGATTACATAACATTGTTTGACTATTTCATATAATTTAATGATTTGATTATTTAATGCAATTTAATTATTTGTTCAATTATTCAGCCATTTGATCATTTAACATTATTTGATTATTTAGCATATTTAACATCTGAAAATTATCATTTTATATTATTGCATAATTTTAGAAAATATAATATATTGCTAAAACATTTTCCATTTATTTATTTTCTTATCTTTATAACAAAAATTTGGGGCAAAAGGTTAAAGTTCATCCGGAAAAAAAAACAAATAAATAAAAACCGGTAAAATTGACCAATGATAATTTCGATGCCATTATCACATTTATATTTAAATCGACCATTTGGTCGTTCATATACTTCACCATTTTGTCGTATTTTACCCATAATATCAGTACAATCATATACTATTCGACCATTTTTATCTTTTCTTTCATTAAATATTTGTGGAAAAATATTTCCTGAAATAAAAAAATATTCGATTTTTTTTTTACTATTTTATCGCTTTTTTTAAAGTAATCAAAAAACTTTTTTATTAAATTAATTATTAATTATCAAATTAAACCTGGTACAAATATTAAATACTAAATTAAATTATTAATCATTAAATTAGAACATTGTTACAAATATTAAATACTGAATTAATTATTAATCATTAAATTAATATTGGTATAAAATATTAGCCAAAATTTTAAATTTATTTCATTTAACTTTAAACATTGAATGATAAAAAATATTAACAAATTTACCATTAATATCGTGCATATTATTAGCGATTGTTTCATATTTAACATTTCTTGTACCTGTACTAAACCATTGTGTCATCACAATTGATCGTCGTGTTTCACCCAATGTGACAAATAAATTGATAAATGATAATAATAGTCTCATGATAAATCAAAATGAATGCGAAAAAAAAAAAGTAACCGAAATCTGGAAAATATTTTTGCAAATAAAATAATAATTATAATTTTATCATAATTTAATTATAATTTAAATAGCAATGATAACTTTTAAATAGCCTTCCCAAATTTTCATTAAAAATAAAAAAAAAGTAAATTTAATATAAGCAAAAAAAAAGAATGAAATATTTTAATAAATTTGATAAATTTTTTTTTTTGAAAAAAACCTATCATTTTATATTTTAACAATAAATTCACATTTTAATTACTACTAAAAAGATATATATATATATATCATTGCTAAACTATTTAGAATTAAAAATAAAAAGTAAATTCAACCATTTAAAAACAAAAAAATAAGAAAAGGAAAGTAAATTTAAGCAAAATCAAACAAGAGTGGAACATTTTTAAAAAAAAAAAAAAATTTAAAATTAGGATAGTAGAAA